CACACACACACACACACACACACACACACACACACACACACACACACACACACACAGAAACATTATGAACAATCAGTAGCAGATCACACAATGCTACTCACCCTGATAAGCATCATCCATCGCAGCATAATCTGCTATTGGCTCATCAGCCTGGAGAAAAATTGTTAAAAAATTTATTTTGGAACAACAAGAATTTTGATATTAGCATTAAAGTTGTCTCATTAAGGAGAAAACTGTATAAAGATCCAGAAGAAAAAACACATACTTTTAAACAGATGATGCTCTCTGGGATGACACCCAGATTGCCTAGTGTGGCTGAGTCATCAGTCAGACTTTTTCCTTCAATGGAGAGATTCTGGTCAAACGGAGCCACAGAGAATGCGTGCATGATCTGCAGTCACAGACAGCAGGGTTAATGTGGAAGCAAACCGTAATCTGCAGCACTGCGCCCCATGTTGTGAAKCCCTTACTTGAATCTTCAGCTCTTTTAGTGTCTGATTTGCTGAAACAATGAGTGCTTTCTCCCCTCTGAGTTTCCTGTGCCGAGTACTTCTCCTGATTCCACCTGCTTTGGTCACGGTGGTCACAGGCAGAGCACTGTTGTCACATAACTTTAGCCGCTTAGCACCATCCTGTGACTAGAAAAAAGCAATAAGTTATTAGCAATAAATGATCGTGTCATCACTTTTGTTAAAATAAACACTTAATATAAAGCTTAGGCCTTCACTGGTTTCCATAAATATCAAGTTTTATTTTCTTCCTTATTCATTCATTAAAACAAACAACAAAAAATTATCTACTGTATATACAATACAATAAAATAAAAACCACAAAGTTAATTTGTGTTTGCTGAATTCTTCTCTTTGACTAATAAAAACATTGGTAAATTTTAAAAATGTACTCAAAGAGTGTACTACCTAAATTTCAGGATAAAAAAGGTAAAAGTCAGGAAAGGACTAAATCATTTGGACTAAAGCTCTATTCACACATGATAAGCATTATCTGGGGACTCCAAGTAATAAAAAAAAAATTACTCCCCGACTTTTGTTTTTTATGTGGTGCATTYGCACGGGCTAATTGAAGCTTGAGATTTTCCTGAAATTTACAGACATCTCCACAATGTGATATTAAAGGMTGGTTAGTTGACACGCTGAACACGGCAAAGGTGCCCCACAAGGCTGAAAMCTTGGGTCACTGTGACATATCTGATTTGATTTATTACTAAAAACTGATAAAATTATAATAATGGGGGATTTTRATATTCATRTAGATGATGAAAGTGATAGCTTAAATATAGCTTTTAGTAATTTAATAGCGTCAATTGGTTTTACTCAAAATGTCCACAAATCTGCACATTTTATTCATCACACTCTTGATCTGGTTCTGACGTATGGTACAGAGTAAAGAATTTAAAGAGGAACTTACCCCAAAATTAACTTTTTTTAGCTGATAAACTCTCTAGAATGTGTTTTTTGATCAGGATATGTCTTTTAACCCCCACATTAAAAATGTTACCAGGACCGCCTTCTTCCACCTGAATAATATCACTAAAATTAGCAACATTTTGTTCAAAAATGACGCGGAAAAACTGATTCATGCATTTATCACATCTAGGCTGGATTACTGTTTTTTTTAATCTGGGCTCCAAAAAACTCTTTAAGAAGTCTTCAGTTAATCCAAAATGCTGCTGCTAGAGTTTTAATGAGAGTTGGAA